CTTCTGTTCGGTCTATTCTTATAGATGCCGAACAGCAGTGAGTGAATAGCCGAATGCCCCTGAGCGGCATTCGGCTCGGCTGTTCTGCTTGGTCCCTCAGAGGGACCGAGCAGAACAGAAAAATAATTTAAGTTTTTAAAAAAAAAAGTAAATAGAAAACGATTGTGAGGAGCTAGCAGTGACAGCTAGCTCCGCCCAATAATTTCCTATTGTCCGCCGGCTCTGCTGCCATAAAAAAAAAACGGGAAAAAAAACCTCTCCTGGGCGCTCTGGGAGCCTCCCGCTCCCGGACGCCCAGGAGAGAGACACTGCTGTGTCTTTTTTTTTCTTTATTCTGACACGGAGCAATGTCAGAATAGAAAAAAAAAAAATTCCCATTGAAACACATTGCTACATTACTATTGGCTATTTTAATTTGCAATAGCCAATAGTAAACTAGCATTATACCTGCCCTCTGCTGATGGACCTGATGGAGAACTGCATATGGCGGGTACAATGCTAGTTTACTATTGGCTATTGCAAATTGAAATAGCCAATAGTAATGTAGCAATGCATTTCAATGTGAAATTTTTTTTTTCTATTCTGACATCGCTCCGTGTCAGAATAAAGAAAAAAAAAAGAAACAGCGGTGTTTCTCTCCTTGGCTGCCGGGAGTAAGAGACTCCTGGGGCGCCAGGGAGAGTTAGCTGTTTGGAGATCAGTGTCCCTGGTTAGCAGGTAACCAGGGATGCTGATCTCTCTGCAAGTGGCCGGAGCCAGCCGTAAGATCACGGCTGGCTCCACCCAGCTGTCAGAAGCAGGCTGTCGGCCGGCTTTCAGCACGGCTCAGCCGAGCCGATGCATATGCGTTCGGCTCGACTGAGCCGCTCGGCCACGTTCGGGAGCTGTACGGGCTATAGTGAATAGTCCGTTCAGCACCCCCCTTCGGTTCTACTGAACCGAAGGGGTCCTGGGGCCGAAGCTAGCCGAAGGATCGTCCGAAGCTACGTCTAGATCCTTCGGCAGCTTCGTGAATAGACCCCATAGTGCCGATGAGGTTATTAAAGATTGGAGACAAACATACCACATTCTAAAATTTTTCCACACTAAAACTGTATTTAATTAATTATGCTATGTTCACATTATTTTTTGCCAAAACTGAAAAAAATGTTTCTTTCTTTGTATTTTTTAGAAATAAAATAGGGATTTCTATATGCATATGCCACATCAACCTAATCCCCATTTTGTCCTTTAAAAAACCTGTATATAATATGTGTAGGTGCAATGAATGAGGAAGATGGAAAGCTAAAGCTGTGTCACTAAGGGGTAAATAAACTGTAACAGAGCCTGTGTATATGCAAAGAGGTCTAGAGTAACCAGGACTTTTAGGACTCTTTTGTCCCCAAAATCCGTGCTGGGACAATACCTTTGGCACACAAGGCAAAGATTGCAAAATGCCCCCCAAGCTTAGATCAATGGCACTTGCATGTATAGTGAATGGTGTATGTGCATGTAGGGTTGCTGGGCCAGCACAGCTTATAAAAATAATAGCTGCTGTGCATCGGTCTTAGAGTTGGCACCTTTTGTTGAACAGACAACAGGATGATGGAAGTGTTGGGACATGGTTAAACCAGTGTGATTTAGCAATAATCAGCATGTTAAACCAAGACAGTTTTCCATTAACACTATCATAACCCAGTGCATAGCACAGTAGAGGCCTCACAGAACAGAAGGTATGCTCATGTCTCATTTTATTGCATATCCCATAAATAAAAATGGAGATGGTTTCAGGATAGTGGACAGAGCCATGCAAATCAATTATTTTTACCCCATGGCAATGAACATTATTGTAACCTAAATTCTTTCTTCTATCTGGGAATTAAAATAGTTAAAAGAGAACTATGGGGTAACCTTTTTTTCCCATAGTTCTCTTTATTGCCCGCTATATGCTGAAAGCGCCGCAACTGGGATGGATCCTAACAATACTGTTGAGATTCACCCCACTGGCTGATTGACAGCGGGTTCTGCATATCTAGCTATGCCGTCCCCTCCCCCATCTGTCCCTCCAGTCAGCGCTGGGGGATCGGAGTGGGGAGGGGGGATCCCTGCGGGGAGCAGTTACTGACTGCTCTATTTTCATTGTCTTTAGTTCTGCCTTTCTGCAGGCTACTGTGCCCTACCATCTATAAGCTGGGGATGGATCTCATTCATTCTTATTCATTTCTTACATCTATTTACTGACCCATTTGTTATATTTTGAACATGTAATTACTAAGAAATCATTGTTCAAATATTTTTATTACCCAGTCAGTCCACTAATCACTTACTTGTTATTATTTATTTGTTTTAATTGCTAAAGAAAAGAGAAGAGGAAAAAAGCAAACGGAACAATACAGTTTCAACCAACGAATTAATGAAAGATTTAGAAGACCTTCTGCCTCCTAGTGTAAGATTTGGGATAAAAAAAGAAAGTGGAGTGAAAGGTAAGGCTTATTGGCTTTTCAGTAACGATACGCTCAAAGTAGGATATCTAAAAATTGATTTGTTTAAGTTATATACTGTAGACAAAACATTTGGTAAAAAGCTCTTTTATGTGAATTAAAACATTTAAGGCTATCTTTAATGCTACTCCTTCTGTCCCCAAGAGTTAATGGCTTCTCACTCTCAGCTCGTGCTTCAATAAACGTGTATCATTTGAAAGGCATCCTCTAAGTACTGATTATGGCTAATTAAAAAATACTAACCCTCAACATTAAGGGATTCAACTCCCCACACAAGAGGAGAATGGCATTTTGTTATTTCCGTTCGATTAAAGCTGATGTTGTATGTCTCCAGGAGACACATTTCTCCCATTCATCAGCCCCTCAATATTTTGATTCCTTTTTTCCCCCCAAGTTTTTCTAGCTAGTGCTCCAATGAAAAAACGTGTGGTGTTGATTAGCTTTCGTCTGTCCACCCACTTTGTGTGCAATAAGGAGATTGTTGACCCTGACTCTGGTAGATATTTGTTTTGACAGGACGTCTCATGGACCAAGAGGTGACTATTGTTACCAACTACGCCCCAAACTCCAATTCTTTTCCCTTTTTCCATCACCTTCTTCAGACACTCTCTCGTCATGATATTGGTAACATACTGGTCTGCGGAGACTCTAACCTTACTCTATACCCCATTCTCGGCAGCTATTAGGCACCTTCTAGCCCAATACTCATTAACGGACGTGTGGCGTGAGTTGCACCCTACCACTCATGACTATACCTTTTTTTCGCCCCTCAATTCATTTTCCAGAATCGATCACATATTTGTGGCCCCTACCTTACTTCCCTCTGTCTTCTCCTCAAAACTTCACCCTATATCCTAGTCTGACCATGCAGCTGTATCGGTATGCTTACGTACATTGCTTGTGGTCCCTGCAGAACCCTCTTGGTCTCTGAATGGCTACATGTTGTCTGATGAAACTCATCAAGCCTTCCTTAGAACGAAGATGAATACATCACAATAAACAGAACTCCTGATGTTTCCCCTATCACCTTATGGGAAGCCCATAAGGCTGTTATTCGAGGTGAGTGCATTAAATTAGCCTCCTCACTTAAGAAGGAGTGGACCTTAAAATTGCGAACACTTGCAGATAATTTCACAGCTGCTATTCCAGGAACATCCTTCCCTTAGCTAACAGAGGGATAGCGCTACGCGAGACTTTGGATAGCGCTATGCGAGACCTCAATCTCCTTCTTATGCACCTTGCCGACAGTTACGACGTGCTCGGCATCACTTCTATATGCAGGCGAACAAACAAGACACCATGAATGATGTGAAACCTCGCGCCACTACTCTAGTCAAGTTAAGCAGCAGCTGAAATCTGTGTGGTCAGATATAACATATGAAATTAATGGTAAAAGCCGCGCGGCTTTTACCATTAATTTCATAAACAAGACACCATGCTTGCTACCTGCCTTATAAACTTGTTAGGCTTTGCGTGGACTGTGGCAATGTTACTAGAAACCCCTCTGTTATTGTGCGGGAATTCCAGAAACACTTATCGATGCTATATACCTCAAACCGCGGCTTTTACTCCTCCACTGCAGACAGTCTTCTCGTGCCAGTTAACCTCCCCAACTCCCTACTAGCCTCAAGGACATACTCGATTCTCCCATTATGAACAAAGGAGTTCTTGCAGCAATCAAATCCCTTAAATCCGAAAAATGAGCAGGACCAGACGGCTTCTCCCTTCTTTAATATAAAATACTCTCGGATATCCGCGCTCCGTTGTTAACCGCGACTTTTAATGTCATCAGAGTGGGTAAGTCCTTTGGCCGTGATTCCCGCTCCACCACCATCTGTATGCTTCCTAAGCCAAATGGAGACGACGCTCACTGGTCTAATTACAGGCATAATTCACCAATATATATATATATATATATATATACATACACTG